CTAAAACAACAGAAGCTTCCAATAAAAGCGTTGTTACTATTGGATAATGCACCAAGTCATCCTCCTGAGCAACAACTGAGGAGCAGGGATGAGTAAATTTTCGTCATGTACATGCCGCCCAACGTAACACCGTTAATTCAACCGATGGACCAGAATATAATAAGACTCACCAAACTATACGATAGGAAGTTTCTACTTTCGTCTGTCTTATCAAAGAATCCTGAAAACTTATCTGAGGCTTTAAAAAAAGTAACATTACCAGAAGCTGTTTTAGATTTACATATGGCCTGGAATAAACTTATCCAGCAAACTATTCAAAAGTGTTGGAACAATCTCTTTTGTACCAATAATGAAGATGATGAAGAAGACGATGTCCCCTTAATTAGCGTAATTAGACAACGTTTGCCATCCAATAATGATAATGTTATTAGTGTGTCATTGGATGTTGTTGATTTATTGAAAACAGTGAATCCCAACATTGTTTGTACTCCTGCTGATATTAATTTATGGAACGAAGATAAGCAGACGAATGATGCTGATAAGGAGGAGGATATGGACAGTGAGGATGATGAGAACGATCCCATTGAAGTCAGAAGTGTAGTGACTGACGCGCAAGCTATACAAGTTTTTAACCAAGCTTTAGATTGGGCTGAAAGAAAAGAAGTTTCATACACGGATATTTTAGTTCTTCGTAAATTACGGGCGCAGGTATTGGAAGACAATGCTAAGCGCAAATTTTCGCAGACAAAAATTGTTAATTATTGTTCTTCTAATTAAAAAAATACTTATCGCTGTTAGAATATTTGTTTATTTTGTTATAAATAGTATGTATTAAACGTTTCTTTTAATAAATCGAATATTATATAAATCACGTTCGCTAATGTAAACATTTCGGTAATGTGAACCACACTTGGATTAAATTAGTTTACATTATCGAGCGTCTGCTGTATATCGATGTATCGACATCATAAACATCGGTATATCCCGAGTATATCCTTAACTGTGCTACCATCTCTAAGCGAGGACCGGTAGCTTCTAAATTGAAAGCCCATAAAGCTGTTTATATAATAAAATAAACTGGAAACAGCGCATTTACGCATTTAATGATTGTAGGTTCTCGTGATTATTTTATTGTATGTAGTTGTAGTGTCGCTGTTTTATTGTTAATTAATCGAAATGCCGGGAAAAAGTGATGTGTGGAAGTACTTTGAAACAACTTGTGCACAGTGTAAAGCATTTAATGATCATCAATGTGTTCTTAATTATGACAATCTCATATCTTGCAGTTTCCTGTAATCATACTTTTTCACTTAATATACAGGGTGTTTCAGTTTATTGTTGCATAACTTTAAGATTCGATAGAACTTTTAAAATTAATGCATAAAGTCTATATAAACATGGGTCGAAAAATGCGTGGCTTCCGAAATACAGGGTGTTTAAGTTTACTTTCTAAAACAGTTTTTTTTAAATATTTCGAACAATATTTGATGTATAACAGTCAAAATTGGTATACAAGGGTTTTTTGGTACGACAAAACGAACCATGGGCATAGTTTTATTGTAGCCGCTAGAGGGCGCTCTCTACTATACCTATAGTGTATTAAAATGACCGAAAATTTTTTCTTAGTACAATTTTTTGCTTTTTGAATAAAAAAACTGATTCTTCGCACTTTTCAACATAAAAAAGCTCTCTTGTGAATTTTCGCTATAGTTAGCCGTTTTTGAGATATTTCGATTTTTAAGGTTCGATGCATTTTTAATTATTTATGATAAAATAACGTTAAAAAGTCATTACTAGATAATTTTTAGAAGTAGGCTGTGACTGCAAATAATTTTGAAATTGAAAGCAGAATAAGGTTAAACGTCAATTAGTTGACAGTTAGTTTTGTTGTCTGTTGAAACGTTCGATCATTCGTAGATGTGAATTGTGTATTGAATAATTGGGTTTACATTTTAAGCAACTACTTTAGATTTTGTATGTTTGTCCTAACTATTCAATAGCATTTTAGTTGTAAATAACTAATTTAATTTGTTAAAAATAATATTGGAAAATTAAACAAATTAATATTCTGTTTTTTTGTGTTTATTTATAGTTAGGAATTATTGCTGTGTTTAAAAACACAATCTAAACGATCATCTTAATTACTTGTAATGCCCAAATCGAAAATGAATAATGAATATCATTTTTTATGTGTTCGCTTAAGGTTGTATCAAGCACAGCAGAAAAATTAATCAGTCCACGAAATATTCCCGGGTTTTGGGAGCTCTCGGTTTCGTCGCGGTCCCGTAGCGCCAACTCAAATGCTCCGCAAAATTTTATACCGAGCACCGACCGACCAATCAGATATCGTACTTCGCATTAGATCTGTACGGAACTGTATAACGTGCAGTACATGCTTATGCTTAAATCGCGCATTTCATTTTGTAGAGAGAGACAAAAGGAAGCGCGTGCGGCTTGTGTCGAAGTAGTGCACAGACCCTTTTCAAGTGGCCCATGAATAATGTTCCGCTGCGGTCGCGACGAAAATGACAAGCACACAATTGGTCGATTATAATGCTTTCTCAATACAAAACAGACTCGACGCTGTGGCTTGCGGGGGCAGCGTTGCCGGTATTGTTTCTATTTGTGTGATAACTTGGAAAATAAATAATGATCAAATTACTACTGCTTCTTTCTGTTAAGACAAAAGTTTTGGCAGTTCTGCAACTCTGCAGAACTTAAGGGCCAGCCACCCCTGACGAGTACAAATGCGAACTTTTCAACATTTAATTGAGCAATGCGGCGTGCTGCGCATGCAGTGGTTTACAATGTTGGCTTTCGCAGTACGAAACAGCTACCCCTCATTCTTCAAAAGATCTTGAGGCTAGGTAGACTGGATAAACTTCGTGCGTGACGATTTATATTATTCACTGCTTCTTTTGTTAAAATCGATACTTCAAATGTTACCCTCCATTTGGATGTTCCACAGTTGGGTGAGACTCCCTTACAAATTCTGATATGAGACGTCTGACAATCAAGCAACGCCACTGATTCTACTCTACGTTCTCTAGGGTACAAGGATTTTCATAGCCGGCAAACAATAAATATACCAGACCGTACAAAAGTGACTCAAATAATATGCATGATGCATATACGAAATACATTCGTGCGTGGAATGTAGTCAGCCTACTTGAAGCCATTTTTTGAGCTAGCATCAAAAGCTTATTTTCATTATTAACTCGTATTTATCCTTACCTGCTTTCCAAGATAATTACGAGATTGATAAGTTTTGCAGATGACACCGTTGTATTTTATACATCAAACTCATGGAATTTACTGAAGAAAATGATTTCAAATAAATAGACGATTGGCTCTGATTTAATAAACTAATAATAGATTGTGATGAAAGAAAATATATGAGTACATCTAGTACATAGTCAACCCAATTTACGAACGTTGCAAGTTGACACAGATATGAATATCCATCAGACTGGACAAGCACTTCAGACGGAATTTACACACAAAAAAATGAGAAGCCTGATTCCAAGGTCCCGGCTTCTGACAGATTTCCTGAGCAAATATCATTTGAAGTTATCTTGTGGGATGCAGAGTTTCATCTATTTTAGCACCTCCAATTCCCTTATAATATCTCTTGCTTCCGATCCGCAGGTAGCAAAGCAGTTGATATTCAAAAGGAGTAATTAGCACTAATGGACGGATGAAGACGTTCCCTTCCTCCTGTGATGCTACCGAAGACTTGGTGAATACCTCTGCCTTTGGAGATGAATAAGCAGCTAATTTCAGAGTGGCGTGGCAGCTGGAACAGTGGCAGAGCAGATTCATTCCTGAAAGGCGCAAAGCTAAGCATGCTTACCCCATGTAAGAAAAATATGAGATCAAAGTAACGCTTATTGGGTAACGTGGTACGTGTACGAAAGGTCTGCTTCATGCAGCTGCCCTGCAGAGACTGTATCATCTTTTCCTTTTCCATTCTAGTCGTCCCGATCAAAAGTATCCATTGTCGAGCAGCATTCGAGGACCTTTTTACATGAATAACGCCTTGTAGCGTACCCGTAACAACGTCTCCTAAAATCTGTGAGTTATACTCTCAACATCAGGACACCAGGCACGCTTTCGATCTACGCTCCTGATAAGATGAGTTCCCTGATAACCGTCAAACAGGTAGAGAGCTGGCAGGACGATCGACAGACAGAAACTGCCTCGATTTGTCCGAATTTCGGCGTGGGACAATGCAAAGCCAACCATTGTTGTCTAACAATTGTCTTATCGCCAGCAGCATCGAACTTTGATGGTTTTCGCTGCACTATTGTCTAGGGTTGCATGCGTTTTGTATTTTGCGCTTAAGTCCTTGTTCTGCGAACGTGTGGTGTGAGTGATTCCATTTGTTGGGGGTTTTAAGGTGCATATTGTGGCTAACGAAGCTCTGTTGTATGGGTACAATGCTCCGGGTATTGGAAATATGTCGTTATTTTAAGCATATGGAGAAGATCGTTTGAAATGTTTATTGCTGCATATGTTTCCATCTATCATCATGATCTTTGTTGACCATAGGTAGGTTCTTATGGCCACCAAAATATAATAATGAAAAGAATTCCAGAAAAGTTAGTTTTAAAAATAAAAATTTAAGGGATTTCCGTTGTACTTGCAAATTTTGAAGGAAATCCTCCAAATGGTATTTATAATAATTTGAAGTAAATGCTTTTGCTTTTTGAGTATAAGCATATCCTTCAAAGCAGTGACATGAGTAAAAGGATATTCATAATCTTCACCTTATACTCGGCATAGGAAGCTTATCCTTCAAAAATTCTGAGTGTGGTCAGTAGCAGACTCAAGTTTGTAACGAAAGGTGGTCAAACGATGATGGCGGAAATTGTGGATGTTAGGGATGTAATAACGTACAAACCTCGTTTACCTTCACTTGGTAGTGGTTGAGAATGAAGAAACTCGAGGAGGAGCACTTTCATGTATTCATAAAATAGAGATATGTATGTCTACGCTATCTCGGTGACCTTGGATATCAACAAGGTATTGGTCAGGAACTTGGTCTTAGTCAAACAACGGTATCTCGGACTGTGGATAGAGTTGTGAACAGCACAGTTGCACAGTCGAACGAATGGATCAAGTCTCCAACTACCAACCATGAACTGATGGAGGCCAAACGGATATGGCGAAGCATGTATAAATTTCCGACAGCAGTTGGTGTAATTGATTGTACACATATAGGAATCCTGAAACCAAATCGCCCGGCAGATGAGTATATCAACCGAAAAGGGAAACCTACTTTAAATGTGTAAGCCACTTCTGATACCAGAGAGATGTTCCCAAGTGTTGATGTCAGTTGGCCTGGATCAGTGCATGATTCCAGAATATGGAGAAATTCACAGACTAGATCACAACTAATACATAAAGCAAATGTTTGTAACGCTTCCTTTCCGCAAAAAGTCCAGAAAAGATGGAATGCAATAAAGATTCCAACTTTTCTGCACAATCACAGAAAGGGGGTTACCATTAGCTTCCGGTAGCTCAGTCGGTGGCATGAAGACATCTACAGGCGTGTAGCTGTGTGTCGACCATGGCATGGCTAGAGGATAGAAGAACAAACAGAACACAAAAATTTAACAGATTTTATTTAACAAAAAAAAGGCATTTTCATTACATTACAATTTTACAAAAATAACAAAATAAGTTTTACATCTTTGGCGCTGCTATAACGCTATCGACTTATCTTTCGCTGGTCCATTTTTACTCGACTGAAGCCAGGATGACCAGGGGCTTGAAGGGGAGGTCCCAGTTATGAGGGGTGACCTCCATATAGTGGCTTCACAACCAGTTGAAGGCGAAGTTAAAGGCGATGGCGCTGCCAAGGTACATGCATGGGTGAAAATATTGGCCAAGGCTAGGCAAAGTGAAAGGGAAAGAGAAAGGGGGTGGCCCCAATCATTTTTGTCCTATACGGACACACATTCTAGAAATCTAGCACATGGTGCTATATAACCTGGTGCTACTGAGAAGAAATTTCTAGCCGTTGTTCGATCGGCGACTCAAGTGAAAAGGAAGCGCGAGGAAGATCGCAGATCAGGAACTCCGCATCAAGCGCTCCAAGCGGAAAATTTTCCAAGCAAAAAAGCTAGAGATGGGATTAATGAAATGATAATCGAGAAGTGATTTAATAAATACGATCGGAAGGTGAAACCGTTACACTCGCCCCAACTTAACCAAAAAAAAAAATCGAAGAAGCATTTAAGAATTTTTTTTTTACTAGGAAATTGAAAGTTATCACGGAAGGACAAATGTACAACCATTCGACCAGATAACAAGTAGTAAAAGTAAGGTAGAAACAAAAATGTTAGAAGAGAATTGGAAGAAAAAGGGATAGCCTCAAGTCTACCAAACAAGAGGGATGGTTATAGCACCAACTCGCTGAAAAGTACAGTGAAGTTGCACTTAAAAAAAACTATCATCATATGATGAAAAACCCAAAACATAAAACATCGTCATACCTAAGACGAGAAAAATAATAAACCAAAAGTTTTAGCAGTAGTCCAAGCACGAATCACAATGGCATCCAAAATGCACGACTGACTACTAAAAACTTCAAAACTAAGTAAGTACCTAAACCATAAGAGGTACTAAAAAAAATAATAATCTTTCTCAAAACAATTGCCAGATTATCTCGCAATACTCCAAACCCAAAAAGATTATGATCTACAGTGATATTTTAAACCAATATCCAATATAAAAAACTGTGCATTACTATTTTCAAAATATGAAAATCAAAAGAAATTATCAAATTCTATTAAGAATTCCAGTTATATAACAAAACAATTTACAAGTACTAAACCAATGAAATCTTGATCAATAAGGTATTTTAATCAAAAAAAGATGTTAACTAAGTGCAGTTCTGATTCCAAAAAAAAAAATTGTCGGGCGCCAGCAGTCTGTAAGACTACAAAATAATTCAAAATATTTTCAGAGAATTAAAGTATATAAGAGACATTCATGAAATATTGAAGTAAGGTTTTCAAAGTCAAAATATAGCTTAAGTTCAATCAATGAACTAAAATTCAAGAGTAAGCTCAATCAAAATTTTCGGGTCATGTGACAACATAAGAACCAGACTAAAAAAAATTCTGAAGTTCAATATAGAAAAGAGCAAAATAAATTTCAAAAAAAAAACTAAGTGCAACACAAATGCAACTGTAAATCTAATAGTATTAAAATCATAAAGTGAAAGGAAATATCAAAGCTATATGAGCATGATTTTATAAAGGGTTCTCAAAAAAATTTAAAAGTAAGCAAAATATTAAAAGTTTCATGAGTAATAAATGAGAAACGAAGTGAGCATATGTAAAATGCAAAATAGTGAAACGAAAATCACAAGATATTTTATTAAATCATGATACATGAGAGTAATGCCGCAAGCAAAAATTGTATGCAAAAGACTACGATATATGTAGGTGCAAAATTGGAGTTATAAAAAAAATCTAGTGAACAAGAAATAGAAATAAATATGATAGGTAGGAATTCGAATTTTGAATTAAAGCAAAAATATGAGAGAAAGACAACTTTCTAGGGTCACCATAGGTGCACTCCAAAGCCCTAGACAAGAATGTCTATAGTCTATGGAATATTCTCATGTAGATCACTGATATCATCAGCGCACTTCAAAGTCTACACTGAGAATAACCATAACATTGTAAAATGAAAGTAAAGTTCAAATATGAAATATTACAAGATTAGAAAAACTATAATAATTTACCAGTGTAAAGTATGAAAAGAGAATTACTATACTGAATCTATAAGAATTGGCGATTACTTCAAGTCAAGACAGAAATTGAAAGAAATAAGAAGCCGGAAAAAAGATTATGAGAGCAGACTATCAAAACAAATGCAATAATGCAAAAGCAAAATCACCAGATATTTCAAAATCTATAGCGAAACATGAAAGCAATGTCGCAACCAAGCTCAAGACTTAGCAATACGCACAAATGTGCACAAAGGCTGAAAGCATATATGAAAAATCTCAAGAAGGAATTGACAATTACTTCAAATCAAATTGAACTGATTGAATTGAACTGAGACATAAATAACAATATCAAAAGTGAGTTTTACTTATACGCCAGAGGTTTCAAGAGTTTATCAATACGCACAGATTTGCAACTAGGCGGAAAGCATATATGACAAGTCTCAAGAAGAAAATAAAATGCATATGAAGAAAACACTTTCAATTAAAGAAACTGTGGATAGTACAAGACCCTCAAGGCATACATCGCAACGAATCTATGTAACTATCCAGACTACAAAATACTGTCAAAGTTCAAAACCACTCAAAAATATGTAAACAAACATCAAAAGTTTGAACCAAAAATCAATGTAAGTCTGTGCTCTCGAAGAAAGTTATAATGAATTCAAAAAGAGGATACTATCAAAAACTTCAAAAGTAATAGACTTCAAAAATAGAAGTACGTAAGTATGTAAAGGAAATTCAGAAAATATACGCATAAAAACATTATAAAATATTATACACAGTATTTGTCACATGATTTAGATCGGGAATGCAATTTAAATTTTGAGTACACTCAGAAAAATGAGATATTCAAAAGATGAAGTATACACATTAAATTGGAATCAGAAAAATAATGATTACTTGTAAATTTTGTACATGGTGGACTGACGTAATGGTTCAAAAGGTTGAAAGAACATCGATGACTAATGTCCAAAGTAAACATTCACCTGCCTTTTACAGGAAATTAGCTTAACAATTATCAAAGGAAATTCTTGTCCGTTCGCATCTGTACTTGGAAATAAATATAGGAAAACCTACTCGCTCCAATGTACAGATCGAAAAACTCGCCCCCTTCGATTGAGCGGAAATATAAGTATTGGACAAATTGTAATATTTCAAAAGGTTGAAGGATCAACGATGTTAAATGTCCAAAGTAAACAATCAGCTGCCTCTTACAGCAAATAAGTTTAATCATTATCAAAGGAAATTCTTCTCCGTTCGCATCTGTACTAGGAAATAAATATAGGAAAACCTACTCGCTCCAATGTACAGATCGAAAAACTCGCCCCCTTCGATTGAGCGGAAATATGTATTGGACAAATTGTAATATTTCAAAAGGTTGAAGGATCAACGATGACAAATGTCCAAAGTAAACATTCAACTGCCTTTTACAGTAAATTAGCTTAACAATTATCAAAGGAAATTCTTATCCGTTCGCATCTGTACTAGGAAATAAATATAGGAGAACCTACTCGCCCCAATGTACAGATCGAAAAACTCGCCCCCTTCGATTGAGCGGAAATATGAGTATTGGACTGATTGTAATATTTCAAAAGGTTGAAGGATCAACGATGTTAAATGTCCAAAGTAAACATTCAGCTGCCTCTTACAGCAAATAAGTTTAATCATTATCAAAGGAAATTCTTCTCCGTTCGCATCTGTACTAGGAAATAAATATAGGAAAACCTACTCGCTCCAATGTACAGATCGAAAAACTCGCCCCCTTCGATTGAGCGGAAATATGAGTATTGGACAAATTGTAATATTTCAAAAGGTTGAAGGATCAACGATGGCAAATGTCCAAAGTAAACATTCAACTGCCTTTTACAGTAAATTAGCTTAGCAATTATCAAAGGAAATTCTTATCCGTTCGCATCTGTACTAGGAAATGAATATAGGAAAACCTACTCGCTCCAATGTACAGATCGAAAAACTCGCCCCCTTCGATTGAGCGGAAATATGAGTATTGGACTGATTGTAATATTTCAAAAGGTTGAAGGATCAACGATGTTAAATGTCCAAAGTAAACATTCAGCTGCCTCTTACAGCAAATAAGTTTATTCATTATCAAAGGAAATTCTTCTCCGCTCGCATCTGTACTAGGAAATGAATATAGGAAAACCTACTCGCTCCAATGTACAGACCGAAAAACTCGCCCCCTTCGATTGAGCGGAACTATGGGTATTGGACTGGTTGTAATATTTCAAAAGGTTGAAGGATCAACGATGTTAAATGTCCAAAGTAAACATTCAGCTGCCTCTTACAGCAAATAAGTTTATTCATTATCAAAGGAAATTCTTCTCCGTTCGCATCTGTACTAGGAAATAAATATAGGAAAACCTACTCGCTCCAATGTACAGATCGAAAAACTCGCCCCCTCCGATTGAGCGGAAATATGAATATTGGACAAATTGTAATATTTCAAAAGGTTGAAGGATCAACGATGACAAATGTCCAAAGTAAACATTCAACTGCCTTTTACAGTAAATTAGCTTAGCAATTATCAAATGAAATTCTTATCCGTTCGCATCTGTACTAGGAAATAAATATAGGAAAACCTACTCGCTCCAATGTACAGATCGAAAAACTCGCCCCCTTCGATTGAGCGGAAATATGAGTATTGGACTGGTTGTAATATTTCAAAAGGTTGAAGGATCAACGATGACAAATGTCCAAAGTAAACATTCAACTGCCTTTTACAATAAATTAGCTTAGCAATTATCAAAGGAAATTCTTATCCGTTCGCATCTGTACTAGGAAATGAATATAGGAAAACCTACTCGCTCCAATGTACAGATCGAAAAACTCGCCCCCTCCGATTGAGCGGAAATATAAAAGGATCCAAAACACTATAAAAAACTAACAATACAAACAAACAGTTTCAATACAAAAACAGGAGCAGCCGAATCTTAAAAAAATTATTTTATATCTGACATACATTAAAAAAGTACAAAGACGTTCAAGTCCTGTTCATCCAATGGAAAATCAGACACTAATGTTCTAATTTCCCTCAAAGAATATGCCAGATAAAACTATAAAATTATGAAAACTTATGCTCCAAACAAGAGACAAAATTACTTCAATAGTTACTGAGGAACGTATACTATATTTCAACAACAAGTTGACATTGAATTACCATAAATGAGTATGTGTGTCTTTGTATAGGTAAAAATGATTTAGGAGTCACCCCCTCATTGAAAAGTAGCAAAAATATAGTCAAGAAAAACATCATTTGTTTCTTGAAAAAAAAGAAAGGTAAGTATCAAAGTACTATGTCCAAGTGTCAATACTTGAAAAAAAGTAAGCCGCCAAAATATACGAAAAATTATGAATATCAATTTCATATAATTCAGAAAAATGGATAAATCGCAAAATGATTTACTCCAGATAACTCTAGTCAGTAGATTATTGCCATCAGAATGAAAACAAATGATCAAAAGTTCAAGTACAGTCAAAAATTCAAAAAGTAAATACATTTGGGGAAGGCAAAAATAATTTTGAAAGTAAATTTCCTACGTACCAAACATCATGAGAGCTATATCAGTACACCAGAGATCCAACAATTAGGCTATATATGCGTACATGAAAAGTCTCAAGAAATCAAAAAACTGCACATGAAGAAATACTTTCAAAAACTAAGAGGTTAGTGATCAAAAATGAAAAGCATATAAGAATATGTAAACTATCAACAACAATAGTCACAACCTCAATCAAAAGTTTGATGATATTCGACAAAAATGCTGGGAAACCTAAAGTCCCCAGACTATCAATATTCAACAACAAAAAAATATCAAAATATCATCAATCTCGAAAGTACAATGAGAAAAAAGTTATAACTGTCCCCAGCAGTAAATAAAAACTGTAGTAGTATGTGAGACAAAAAAATTCTGGCAATGATCTCGCTGACTACTAAACAAGACAATTTAAAAGTTAATAGTATGCCTATGAAATAAACAGGTGGAAAAATTTTAATCTTTTGATAAAAATTTTAAACATTAAGCAAAAAGTAAGGATGATTAAGGAATTAGAAATTTGAGTACCAAAAGCAATTAAAAATAGAAATGCTGCCAAAGATTGTAAAGAATTTTGAAAACTATGTTCTGTTTGCCAATCTTCCACTAGCAAACCACTTGTCGACAAAGCCAAACACCTATCGAAGCCTCACGTTGCGGGTGCCAAGTTATGTAACGCTTCCTTTCCGCAAAAAGTCCAGAAAAGATGAAATGCAATAAAGATTCCAACTTTTCTGCACAATCACAGAAAGGGGGTTACCATTAGCTTCCGGTAGCTCAGTCGGTGGCATGAAGACATCTACAGGCGTGTAGCTGTGTGTCGACCATGGCATGGCTAGAGGATAGAAGAACAAACAGAACACAAAAATTTAACAGATTTTATTTAACAAAAAAAAGGCATTTTCATTACATTACAATTTTACAAAAATAACAAAATAAGTTTTACATCTTTGGCGCTGCTATAACGCTATCGACTTATCTTTCGCTGGTCCATTTTTACTCGACTGAAGCCAGGATGGCCAGGGGCTTGAAGGGGAGGTCCCAGTTATGAAGGGGTGACCTCCATATAGTGGCTTTACAACCAGTTGAAGGCGAAGTTAAAGGCGATGGCGCTGCCAAGGTACATGCATGGGTGAAAATATTGGCCAAGGCTAGGCAAAGTGAAAGGGAAAGAGAAAGGGGGTGGCCCCAATCATTTTTGTCCTATACGGACACACATTCTAGAAATCTAGCACATGGTGCTATATAACCTGGTGCTACTGAGAAGAAATTTCTAGCCGTTGTTCGATCGGCGGCTCAAGTGAAAAGGAAGCGCGAGGAAGATCGCAGATCAGGAACTCCGCATCAAGCGCTCCAAGCGGAAAATTTTCCAAGCAAAAAAGCTAGAGATGGGATTAATGAAATGATAATCGAGAAGTGATTTAATAAATACGATCGGAAGGTGAAACCGTTACATGTTGTACTACTTGGCGATTATGGTTATGGTATTGAGCCATGCCTTATGACTCCCTTCAGAAATCCTACTCCAGGTGCACAAATAAATTATAATAAGCTTTTAAAACAAGAAAGAGGTATAATTGAGCGCTGTTTCGGCCAACTGAAACGCCGGCTTCCTATCCTACAGTATATTTGCCGCATAAACTTGGAAAATGTGCCGAAAATAATTATTGCTTGTATTGTACTCCATAATGTTGCGAAGAGCTTGGGCGATCCTGACTTTGAGTTAATTGAACAAGACGCAGATGAAGATGAAGGAAATCATGAGAATGTCGAACTTACTCTCCACCAACTAGGTCAACAAATAAGAGGAAACTTGAGTATTATAATAGTTTCACTGATTAAAGTGTATTTATAAGTTATAATTAGTTTTTATTTTCGTGAACATCATGAGTTACAGGTGGCTTCTGACGCTGCATCATTTTTAATTTCGTTTTATAATACTCTTGTTGTAAAATACTTGTTTGGTACTACTGTAATAGCACTAGACGTTGCAGTTCCTTGTAGTTAAGCCTTTGGTTTCCTCAGTTTCGTATTTCTCTGTTGCTAAATTTTTTTTTTTGGTGGCAATGTTTGCTCACTGCGCTCGGTATATAGTTCACTTCCTTTTTCTTGAAGGCACCTCTAATTTTCCCAATTTGTAGGATTACAGACACCTTCCATAGCTTTCAGCAACTTTCTTTCCCAATCTAACAATTTAATTGCTTTATTACCAGTTTTTTTTCAGATCTGTTTCCTTCTTCAATCTTGATTTCATGTTGTTAATTTTTTTTAATAATCCTTTAGTATCTAATGGTTTACGGAATGTTGATTCGTATTTTTTCAACACCCTCTTCAGGGCATCGTCCTTTCTCATTTTTATTTTTGGAACTTGTGACTTTTGAAAAATAATGGGAGCAATGGCAATTTCATTTGCGATGCCACTATTTTCTATAGTTTCTTCATCACTTGAGGATGACATGCGTATTAATTTGATAAAAAACTGTATCCAGTAAAAATACGGAACGGTCTGTGTACGCTCTCTAGTCCAACTGTCAGTGATGCTGAGTGAACGAACTCCCACGTCAACTACAAGCTGGAACAAGTCAACCTTTTACTTCTTCTTAGAGGATATCCTCGCGAGTATAAGGTGATCATTATGAATATGAAAACAAGGATATGCTTATACTTCTACCTTGTTTAGACATCATTTAACTACTTTTCCATAGAAAAATGATACCATTGCATTTAATTTTATTTAAAATTAACCATATCTGTCAAAATGTCAAGAAAGCCCTCTAGCGGCCACTTGTATAACTAACAAAATCTCAGATATTATAACATTTGTAGCCCAAGAATAACTCCTTTCATCTAGCTCAAGTTTCTTAAAATCGGCTAAGCCGTTTCAAAAATATAGGGTGTTTTTTACGAAAACATTTCAATACCCCACCACTTTATTTTTAAAAAAGGTTGAGATTATCCACGAAGTTTAAGATTTCTTTGTTAGGTTGATATAGCGGAATTCACAAAAACATCACATTTTTAGATTCAAGATTGCAGTTAGAAACTTGAAAATATTTTGCAGGTTTTTCTCTTGTCCATTTTAGTAATACCTGTTTTGTCACAAGCGATGGACAGGTTCCTAGTTACAGTACCTCGCATTCGTAATTGGCCACCCTGTACAAAGCTTGTTAGATTTCAGTATTGAATTACGAACTAACCACTTTGTCCAATGATACTTCCAAATGTCATCTCCACGACTCCAGCATCCAACCACAAATTTATCATTGAAGACAAAATCTTCCAGAAAATATCCCTTATCATCTATAGTGTATTTACACCCAAAATAGAATGGATGCGTGATTGACAAAAGCAAGGACGGCGTATAGGGCCGCTTTCAGGGCTACCTCCGAATAATGGACTACCACCAACGTGTTGTAAAACAAAGATGACAGTATTTAACAGCAACAGAAACTTAACAAATTACTCAAATACACTTAACAACAACAACAGCAACAACCAAGCAAGGTGAATACTAAAACACGAGCACGCAGTGATACACGCGACGGTCGGTGGCCTGAGTGCAACTCTGCCTGCCCTGCCCCTACCCCGCGCATTATTGCGCCAGGCGACCGCTTGAAATTTAATGCCACCTGTTACCGAGAGATCACGCGCTAACTGTTATTATTTACATCTCTTCTTAAATTTGGATTCAGTTTAGAAGCAGAGGGGCGAGTCTTATGTCATTTTAACAATGTCAGCTGTTTCGTTTCTTCATTTAAGATGAATAAATGCAGTGATCAGAAGCTGTTGGAATATCTAGCGCATCACTAGCCTGTTGGTAACACTCCGTCAACAGAAAATAGTTTGATAATCTCCTAAGTTGTCTTGTCGTTCTTGAACTGTAATAGCTTTAAATCATCTGTTGAAAACGTTTTCCCAGCGCCTCATTGTATTTTGTATTTGACATCGCAAAACAAGTTTCTATAAAATTTAAATGTCTGGAATACCGTGAACTACTTCGATCTATTTACCTGCTGGATTTTTCAATCCGGTCGACAGTCCATCTAGAAATGGCCTTCTGGATGAAGTCACAGTTTTGTTAACTCATACCTTCGGAGTAGTGTGCCCAGCGTTAATCAAGGTTTCGTCCAGGTAATAGATCTTCCTGTGCTGGTCCCTGACTGATTTTATTTTGGTCAGGTACTCTCTCCTCCACAGAACAATTTCTTCTCTATCCATAAGTAAGCTGTTACGACTTCGTTTTCTCCATTCGAAATTAAGATGCTTCAAAAGTTTAGGAATAGTCGAACGTTTGAAATTTGGTAACATAGCATCCTCGTTAACCTCCCGTAGTACTTTATCAACTGTCGGTATTTCGTTTCTGAAGTAGAACTCGTGCACTTTCCTCCGAATCGCATACTTGTCAGCGTCATCCAACGATCTTATGATACTTTTGCGACTTTTACCCGTCATTGGCTTCTTATGTTCGTTCAAAACATTGTACACTGTCGCTTGGCATACCCCAATTTTATCTGCCACTTTCAGAGCTATTTTCGGGTTAGTTGATGTTTCGTATTCCTTCCGCTCTATCTTGAATGTATTCAATATGACGTCTTTCATGTCTACGCTAAGATGTCTTTTTTTATCTCTTTCTAGGAGGGCTAAGGGCCTACAGCCTCGTCAGCAGTATCTGTACTGGACATGTTCAAGATTGCTTCAAAACAAATAATAACGAGGAATAAAAAATAACAAACAGAAACTTAACAAATTACTCAAATACACCTAACAACAACAACAGCAACAACCAAGCAAGGTGAATACGAAAACACGAGCACGCAGTGATACACGCGACGGACGGTGGCCTGAGTGCAACTCTGCCTGCCCTGCCCCTGCCCCGCGCATTATTCCGCCAGGCGACCGCTTGAAATTTAATGCCACCTGTTACCGAGAGATCACGCGTTAACTGTTATTATTTACATCTCATCTTGAATTTGGATTCAGTTTAGAAGCAGAGGGGCGAGTCTTATGTCATTTTAACAATGTCAGCTGTTTCATTTCTGCATTTAAGATGAAGAAATGCAGCGATCAGAAGCTGTTGGAATATCTAGCGCATCACTAGCTTGTTGGTAACACTCCGTCAACAGAAAATAGTTTGATAATCTCCTAAGTTGTCATGTCGTTCTTGAACTGTAATAGCTTTCAATCATCTGTTGTAAACGTTTTCCCAGCGCCTCATTGTATTTTGTATTTGACATCGCAAAACAAGTTTCTATAAAATTTAAATGACTGGAAATAAAAATTATGTAAAATGTATAAACTTTTTCACGTTTGATAAATATTCATATCTTTGGCAAAATCTCTTACCTGCTAGTTGTAATATTCTGCACCATCCACGGATTTTCTCTTCTTTTCTATGTCTTTTTTAAAATTCAGCAAATTTGCAGATGTATTTGAGACAAGAAACCGAAAGAGTCACTGCCGTTTCCTTCCAGCTACAGTCTACAACTTACAGGTTAAGCCTCCGATAATGCCATCTCTGGAGCAGATATTGCATCACATCAAATCTAGGAATGACGTTTAGGCAACACGTATAGCTACAGAATGAGTGCACTTCAAGCGGACATTAATTAGTTCTAAATTGCCAACTTGTAGAAAAACCTACAGAATTTCACAAAAAGCCTGTATGATACGAGGGATGTCTTTTAAGTTTTGCATTCAGAAACATAGTAGGCCGCGCGAATCGAACGTCAGTACTGAATCTTAACCTCGCTCTTTAGTAAACTTACATTCAAAGTTTCACAACAATACGTGCAGTGTTCTCACTACAGTGAATTTTTAAATGTCCCCAAGTCATTAGAAAAATGGATACATGGTACCATCGGCAACAAGTTTTCAGACTGCATAGCAATCTATAAAGTAGTATGTCAAGCGGAATTTCAGTCGTTACCTTATAGTGGATATTAAAGTCTAATCTTCATCTTCAGTTGAAATATTCCAGCTAACGTTCCGTAAGCCAGACTTATCCGTGGAAGTAAAAGACAATCCACTCCAACAGCCGAAAAATCGGTAGAGCTTCTTTTTATAATAATTTGTAATTTAAATTTTATCACGCTCATTTGCTATCTGGAGATACAATCGCCCTCTCTCTGGAATACGGATTATACCGCCCGCCCGGTCCTGGTAATAAATTCGTTGGCAACTTTAAAAATTCGCCGAGGAATAATATTTCACAAGAAAATTACAGCGGCATAAAAGTTTGACGAAGTTTATATTAAAATTCAACGTTTAAGCTCTTGCTAATATTCGCGAGGAAAGTTTCAAGGAGAGGTGTTCAAACTTGGAATTAATTTCGCTGATAATATTTACTTCCACGGAAATGTGAAATTGCTCGAGGAACTTGAATTATGAAGTCCATCGAAAAATGCTAAGGTTTTTTCTAGTAGATTCGGTAATCTAGTTTTGTCTGTATATCACGTACAGGGTACATAATATGTTACGTACCTGTAGAAATGTACCGATTTTTGTTATTTTGCAAAAAAAAGGATATAAAACGTATGTCATGTGGTTCATCATGTATTGTTACATCAAAAACAATTTTTGCCAATTTATGATCTAGAAATCCACACCAAATGTAAACAAACAGCACATTCTGCATTTCT